ATGGATTAATCTGGTTTACCAGGGTATGGGCAGGAGCGAATCCAGGATGTTGAGCTAGCACGGGCGGTCGTAATAAAATATTAAGGGCTCGTTTAATGTCATTTTTTTTTTACAAAAAAAATGCATTTTGAAATAGTGATTTGATGGAGAATGCATAGTTAAAAATAATAAAAAAATTCGAATTTACGTGTAATATTATTTTATTAAAGAATATTTGATCGAAAATAAGGAAAAGAAAAATGTATTCTGAATTAAATGGGAATCAAACAAAGCTTAAAATTTAAATAAAATAATTATTTTGTTGAAATTGAACATATATTATTTTGTTATAAAAATAAATCGTACTCATTAAGTAACATTATTGCATTGTATAATTCAAAGAAAGAGCACGGTGTTAGAATTTTTACAATTGCATTAAACTCACTAAAATCTTACATATATTATTTTGTTAAACTTTATATCACAATTCATCAAGTGTCATAATGGTCAAACTTTCATTATAATTTAGATTGCTCACAGGTTTGAATACCCACTGGCCCTTTCATTATTTCAATGGTTTTTGGTAAAAATTCTATAACTAAAAATTTATACAATAAATTGGTGAACAGTTTCTAACCTAGGACATCAAAGAAGCACATGCAAGTGCTAACCAACTTGGCTAGAAGGCATGGTTGAAAGAAGAATGACTTACCAGTAATATATCCTATATATTTGTCTATTTTCAGCAAAAAAAAAAAAAGGTTCTTGGCGGATCCAGCACGCGCGGCCGCGAGGACTTACCGGGTGTTGGATCCGCTAGTATGGGTTCCTACCGACTACTTAGACCAGGTGGGTCCTGCATTGTGTAGGGGTTCCTATTGACTTCTCACACAACCCACCTGTTTGTGAGTAGTCGGTACCTTGACACCCCTGCAAAACTCAAATTACATGGATGAAGGGATGATGAATTGCATGGGATCTACCTGTTTGTGAGTAGTCGGTACCTCGGCGCTCCAGCAAAACTCAAATTACATAGACGAAGGGATGATGAATCTATAGTTTGACTCATCCCCGGCATAATCTACATTGAGTTTTAACATTGTGAAATTCGTCAAGGGGGTGTGTAAAACAGTCCTCTTTTCCTTTGAATAAGCATTAATCAGTGAAACTTTTTAATGTCTTCATTGTACCCTGTGGAACTAATTTAGTGCCCCTTACTACTTGGGGAGCATCCAATGAACCAGTGAGGCAAACTGAGTGTAAAATTAAATAATTACATAATACCTATAATGTATAGCAATAGTTTCCAAAACAAAATTTATGACGTTATAAGAATTTCAATATACACTCTTTTCCCATTTTAATACACGAAATATTTTAAAGCTGAAACAGTTATAATAAAATTTCGAACATACCAAATCATTCTTTTTTCAATTCAAACCATTTTTTGGCAATTCGTTTTATTTCAAATCACAGTTTTAGCAACGATTTAAGCTTCGGGTACAGGATATAGGAATAGATTCCATACAGGGTTCTGTCTTGGCAGCACCGTATTTTCCTGTTTTCTCCTTTTTTCTTTCTTCCTCTAAAGAAATTCAGACAAGTGTTATTTTTGTAACTTTTATGTGAAATTTTCCCGTACTTGTAGCACAGTTCTTTAGCAGCTTAACAATAAAACGTTTCAAACATGTGTGTGTGTTTTGATGTGATTTTTAACTATAACACTTGAATTGGAACTTTTGAACATGAGCACAACAATACTAATATATATGTTTCAATAGAAGCTTAAATAAACAAATTAATACGAGATTCAAACATTAATTTAAGCTTTCAATTTCACGTTTTAGATTTTAAAAAATCATCTTTATAAATAAATCATTATTTTCTTGAAAAAAAACCCAATAAAAGCCGACTAACAAGTAAATCTTTGAAGTATAAATTGATGTAATAAATAAGACATCTTGTGTAAAGCAAGTTAAAAAATAATAATAATAAAATAAAATTGGGTGAACAATTTATTATTTAGGGCCTATTTGGTACTGATTCTTAGAATCAATTTTTTAACTGTTAGAAAGAAAAGTGAGTCTCACCTATAGGTGAAGACGTTAAAAATGATAACCGACCATTTCAAGTAATGGTCAAAAAATTAATTTTTTGGCTTGAAAAATCAGAACCAAACATGAGATTAATATAAAGGCTGAACAATGCGAGTTGATTTCAAATGATTTTTAATTATCGAAATCTAAATCGAATCATTTTCAAACAAATTGATTCTATTATGAAACAACCGAAACATAAATCATGTGGAACCAAGTCAGTCAATTTCAGAATCGTGATTTGAATTCGATTTGATCGTGTGTTTATTCACCCTTATAATATCTTGTTTTCACGTTAACAGTGCACCCAAAAACCTTCTCCTTAATCTTCACAAATCCTTAAAAAGTACAAACTCTACAATATTGGTAATATAGACCCCAAATTCAAAAATAAATAAATAATAATAATAACATCACATTTTGAATAGAATTAAACTAGCACACACTTAGGGTATGTTTGATTACATTTATTTTTTGTAGAAAATATCAGTTTTCCACCCAAATTCCTACTTGAATTGTTTGATTGCTATTTTTTTCCATGGAAAACATTTTCCAACTTTTGAAAATATGCCTAATTTTTCTTGTTTTTAAGGAAAACATTTTCCTTGGGTAGAGGTGGTTTTTATTTTCCACAAAAGATGGAAAATATTTTCTTTTCGAAGTGATATTTTTCATGTCAATCAAACACACTCTTAGTGTACATTAAATTTGACACTTCTTGTTGACCAAATCTGTATCATTGATAATTTAAATTGGTGTTAAAATCAATGTTTAAAAAACTATCACTTCACAACAATGTCAGATCTAGAGCCTGCTTGAGTCCCATTTTTATTTTTGCAAAATGCATTTTAGAATAGTATTTTGATGAAAATGTGTGGTTAAAAATAAGGAGAATTTTTGAGTATGCGTGTCATAATATTTTATTGAAAAATGTGTGATTGAAAATAAGAAAGAAAAAATGTACTCTAAAAATAATGAGAACCAAACAAGGGATTAATGTCAACAAAGAGATATATGTAGCATAATTATTTTGAATAATGCTTTGTTGGGTGGGCCTGGGCCGACCTAATCTCGTCACCTATAAGATTTAGTGGAAATTACAATTTTCTAGACATTTCAAGATCACAATTTAGAAATCAGGTTGGAATGTGTTTTATTCCAAATTCAGGTATTGATTTAACTAATACTATTAATATAAAATATATTAACCCTAATTTCGAACCCTAAAATTCAATTTCTCTTTATCTTCTCTCCTCTCTGGCTGTCGTCGGAAATCGTCGCTACCACTACACTGCCAGCACCACCATCGGCATCACACTCGGCCACCTCACCATATCTACCACAACAAAACCATCACACCCACCAAAAAAATCCCCAAACTTGCAGCTGTTGACTCCATCGTCTCTCCCACATGGCCGTCGAGCAGCAAGTGGCACTCACTAAAATCTCCTCCGAAGGTCGTTGTGCGGTGGTGTTTCGCTACGAGCGCTTACTGGGATCTCCTCCACACGATGACCTCGAGCAGCACAACGTCACCATTGCGACTTCTTGTGTAGCGTCGTTGCAACGCAGGTCGACGGTGGTTGTTTTTGTTATTATTTTCATGTTACTTGTGGGTGGTTTTACTTGTTTTCGAATTTGCAAATGGTTGTTTTTAGTGGTGGTTGTGGTGGTGAGGTGGTAGTGGCGTTGGTGGTTGTTGAGTGGTGGTGTTGCCATGGGGGCTATGAAAGGGAAAGTCTTGGTTGCCAAAGGCACGATAAGTTGGTGTTGGTGTGATGGTGACGGTGGCAACTGTGGCGGTGGCGGTGGCGGGGGCGGGGGCGGAGGTGGTGTAGGTTTAGATCTGGTTGGTGGTGCTCGTGACAATGGTGAGGTGGTGATTTTGATGATAGTGGTATTGTGTTATTGTTATTGTTGGTGGTGGTTGTGACGGCGACGATGGCGGTGGAGGTGGTGACGACAGTAACAGTGACAGGATTGGACAAAGAGTATTTGTGACCAACTATTTGGACGATTTGTGATGAAGTATAGGTGGTGGATCGAGATCGAGTTCGGCTGTTTGGGTGTATATGACCAATTATTTGATTCTTTGTGACCAATTATTAAAATGTGACCTTAAAATTCGATAATTTGTAATTGAAAAAATATTCTGTGATCAACAAATTTGAAAATACGTAATTGATAGATAAATTGTGACTTATAATTTTTTTTTATCTGTAACCAATGATAAAATCTCTGACCTATAAAATTTTTGATTTGTATGTGATCAATAATTAAGTTGTGACTTATAATTATATACATGTTACCAATAATTGTATCACTATAACCTTATTATATTTAGGCTATGTTTGATCACATTTTTTCAAAAAAATACATTCTTAAACAGTGATTTGATATCATTTCAACCACACATTCTTCAATAAAATAATATTACACGCAAATTAAAAAATTTTCTTTATTTTTTAACCATACATTTTTAATCAATACACTGTTAAAAAATGCATTCTTAGAAATATAATGTGACTCAAACAAGGACTTAATTAATAAATATTTTTAATTCATTAGCTAATACCTGGTTTATGCATTTTTAAATTTAAAATTTGATTTTTGAATTGTCCATACTTAGCTCCTGTTTCCCCCTATTAATTTTCATTCCATTATATTTTATTTTTCTCTCTCTTATTTTCAACCACACAATTTTTCATACAATAATATTACACGTAAATCGAAAAATTTTCCTTATTTTTCAACCGTTTATTTTTAAAAAAATATTATTTCACTCATTTTTATTTTCACAAAATGGATGTCAAACGGGGCTTAATACATGATTTGTGAACTTTTTTCCTAAGCTTTATCCACGACTCCACGTAGAGCATGTAGACGTGACCCAAGTCGGCGAATAAGTGAATCTCCTCCCATTTTGGAAACTTCTAATTCTCGATTCTGTATTCAATTATTTTCCCGTAAAATCGGTCCAAATTAAGTATATTCTCTCCCTCTTACTGCGCTCTGCCCACCAACCATTAATCAATTTCTGTACAGACGCAGATCTATTCACCCTCTTCATCCATTCTTCTGAATTTTTAAGGTCAGATCCCTGATTTTTTTTACTTTTCACCCCATTTTTTTTACTTTTAATTTGTTCAGCTATATTTTCCTTAATGGTATTTGAGGGAATGTTAGTATGTTTAATTGATTTAATTCAAGAGGTGTGGATTCATTTCGAATTTACCCAGTTTTCATATCATTTCATAATCGAATGCAGATGAAGAAAAGAGGCTTTCGTTTTTAACATATTACAAAATTTAATTCTTTTTTGCTGGTTGATTCTTAACTTTTCAGTTTTTTCACGTTGAAAACAAATTACAGGTAACTTGTGAAAGTTGAAGAATCAATGGCGGTTACCATGAAACAAACGTCTCTAACAGTAGCAACATTGGGTTTGCTATCCTTCATTTTCGGTGTTATTGCTGAAAACAAGAAGGTTTGTATTCTCATCTCAATTAAAATGAAAATTTCGATACTCATTTGTTTTTATATTTTGATCTATCAATTCGATGGTGTTATTGGTATTTACATTGGTGTTCAATTCTAATTGGCTGGATCATTGTCTCTGTTTGTTATTGATACTTAGCCCCTATTTTGTAAGTATAGATCAAAATCAAAGTTCCTCAACTTTTCAAACTACACATTTCATCAACTTCTATAAAAATCTACTAAAAATCTGATTTTAATCTCCATCAAACAAGGGCTTAGATTACATTTGAATATTTGTCTTGTTCTTTTGTACATTGATTTATATTCAATCCTCACTTGGATTTTGCAGCCTGAATCTGGAACTACAATAACAGGGAAGGGCATTGTCATTTGCAAATATCCTTATGATCCCAGTATTGTCTTGGGGTGGTTATCCGTTGTATTTCTTGCTGCCTCTACTGCAGCTGGTTATTTTTCTTTATTTTATGACTACAAAGGAAAGAAAATTCCGCAGGCTGCTTTATTCCAAAACACGAGCTTCCTCGTGTTCTTCAATATTGCTCTGTGAGTAATCCTTCTCTCGATCTGCACACAAGTTACACTATTGCCTTCATATTATGTTTGACGTTCTCTGTATACTCTTGTCGGGGAAGAACTGCTGAAACTACAAGGGTTTTGGGTGTCAAGATGAATGTTGTAAGCAGAAAGTTACTAATTAACTTGATATCGACTTGCACCAAAGCGATATACACAACTTCTCTAAGAGTATCTTAGAGTTTCTTTCCTTTCTACCATCTATGATTTTCACTCAATTTCTCTATTTTGATATAGCATACACCATTCTAATTCTCAGCATGATCCTCTGTTTCAAGAACTTATATATTGAGATCAATGTTTTATGTTAATGAATCTTTTAATTTGACATTTGAAATAAATAACTATGTTTGTCCACCAAAATTGGAATTAAATTATTCATATTGGCATTGTCACAATTAGTAATTTAAGTAATAGGACATAAGTTATGAAAACTTGTGCTCTTACTTTGCTCGTCTGCTGAAATTGTAGGGGAACAACTGGATTAGCTGCAGCTTTGCTGTTATGGCCGACAATCTCCGAGCAGCTCCACCATGTTCGCAATGTTCATCACAATCTACAAAACGAATGCCCTACGGCCAAAACAGGTCTTCTTGGAGGAGGTGCCTTTCTTTCTCTGGACTCGACCCTCTTCTGGTTGGTTGCCTTGATGTTAGCTGATAATACTCGAGAGGATTACTTTGAAGATGCTGCATATGAACCTGTAAAGGTCACTGCTTAAATGGAGTTCTTCCCATAAAGAAGACTTGCAGACTTTAGCTTTTGGCATTTCCTCTTATGCACCGGAAAATATTAATCTTTATTTAAGAATGAAGGGAAATGAACTGAAAGCCTAAATAATTAACTAAATAATCGATTATTATTACCATTTTGTCGTAGATTATCTCCTTTCTTCTCTTCATCTTGTTCCATCAGGTAGCAATGCACACAATAAAGCTATATTTTGGTCGAGCGTGAGATGAATCTACATCATTCAAAATAGAGCATTCTGCTAAGTTAAATGGGATACCTCTAAAGGAAATTAGAAAAACATGAAATTAGTGCCCACTGTGAGAGATTGGGACAAATAGATAATTTAGTTTAGCCCAAGTTAGAGCTCCATTTATTAAGTCCTCGATTGGTTTAGTTAAAACTTAGATTTTTAATAAATTTTGATAAAAGTTGTAAATCTCATGAAATAGATTGTTACGGCCTTAGCGTGGGGTTCCCACACTACGTCAAAGCATGATGAGGCTATTCTAATCGAACTCCTTTTGGGTAACCGAACCAATGTGTTTACCGATCCCACTAGTTTATATTGACCCCACGAGAAAGAACCGAGCTATAGGGAGAGGTGAGGCCACAAAAGGAACTCAACTCAAGATCTTCCAAACAATCTATAATATGTGATTGATGTGGCAATTCACTGTTGCCATTGCCATTTTCAACCCATCAAGTCAAGTCTAAAGCCGTAGGCTAGACATTATGGATGGTAAAATGATATTGACATTTAATGCTTATGATTTATTCATGTCTTTGACAAGAGGTATCAGCTACACGGATGAGGCCACATGCCTCCTCATCCGAGGACTTCCATTCATCTTTTTCTACCATAAAAACTCACACTTAATGTCATTTTAAGATAATGCAAATTTAGACTCTCACTATATTACATATCAATCTCCAAAGCCAATCCCTTTTTACATTGGAGGTACAAAATTCGAGGTCAACATATGTGATAAAAATCAATTATTATTTTAACTTGGATTTTTATCAACTTTTTTAGCTAAACCAAATAAGATTAAACATGAAAGATGATATATACCACTCTTTTGGCAATTACTAAAGGATTGCCTTACAAAAACAAATGACGGCAACTAAAAAGCTCGAACTTGCCTCGAGAGAAGATTTTGATGGACTACAATTGTTACACTTTTCAAAAGTTAGGCGTATATTTAACTACGATTGATTAAAATAATAATAATAATAATAATAATAATTTGAGAGTTGTTCAATTGATCTAATTCATTCCATAGTTACGAGGTTAAGACCCTGTCTGGTGTAGCTAAAAATAAATTTTTTAATAAATTTGGATATAAGTTAATAAAACGTCTGTTAAAAAATTGATAATAGTATTGGTAACATAAATATATGTTTAAAATTAATTGTTTATTTTAACTTAAATTTTTATCAAAATATAAAACTACCCCAAATAGGAATTCGGCAATTCCATTTTTCACTAGAAATTTGAAGTACAAATAGGACTAGTCTTTTGAATAATGTAGACCATTAAAATGAATGTGATCTTAATGGAGATTAGAAGACTTGACAAAAATTAGATATACTTAGGAAGTGCCCTTATTTGGTGGGGATTTAAAATTAGAATTTTAGTAAATTTCGATAGAAGATGATGAAATGTGTGGTTGAAAAGTTGTGAAACTCATAAAATATGTGGTTAAAATTAATTTTTGACTTTGACTTAAATGATAATCTAGATTTTAATTTGTACCAACTTCTTTTCCTATCTAGTTCAGCATCAGTTTGGTGGAGCAAAAACTATGAACATATTCTGGAAAACTTAAAATTCATCTGACATGAAGATTAAAAATTGATTAAAACAAATGGACGACCTGATCAATCAAGTGATGAATGTGTGCAAACATTAGTAGAGAGAAATGAGGTCCGTACAAGTAACATAACCTTTTGTCTATTGACGAAAAATATATTTCGATTTAATCTCATCACAAGTTTACGGTTCGTTTGAGTCCAAGTATCATTCCACAGAAATTGTATTAATTTAAATTCAAATTATCTTCGCCTTAACCAAAACAGTAGAAATTTGTGATTTTTTTGGATAAATTAAGTGATCTACTCATGAATGCAAACCCGAATTTAACTAAAATAAATACAAAATCTAAATTAAATGCAAGTTTTTTTTTATAAAAATATGATAAAGAAACGCATACTAAAATCCTGAATCCCCTTATATCAATCCCCTTTAACTCGAATTTTCTGAATTTGACAACACGATTCGATTATGAAGATCAATATTCGCAATTTGTTTAACAATTTCTTTCGAGTAAAATTAGACATATTTTTACATGTGACCCAATTATATTTTTATGACAGATGCGAATATATAAAAATGCATTAAAGATTTATGAGTACTTAGAGGTCGTGTAAAGCATAGGGGTATATTTATATTCCCTATTGGACTATACGGTAATTGACACAATGTCTAACTTATTTTTCATCTCTCGAGGGTAAAACGAGTCACAAAACTCATACAACTATTGCGCATATAATTGTAGAGAAAATAAAATTCATGTCAATCATTCAATAATTAAAAAGGTATTTTAACGTCAAAATAAATAAAATTTAAAATTTAAAAGTTCATAATATAAGGTTCATCGCAAATCTTATTACCAAATAATTTAGCCTAACAAAATGTTGAGATTAAACCAAGAAAAGATAAAGGGTATAACCAAAATCAATCAAACGTGAATCGTGATTAATCACCGCTCAATTTGCACTCCCAATCATTGACTTTGGTTTCATTCCGGCGTCCCAGCCGCCAATTGAATTCTTCAATTGAGAGACCAATTTTAAGCCTCTTCAGCCTCCAATTGAGCCGCCGTTTCTCCTCCCTTTTCTCCCTGTGTGTAATATCTATATATGTGTGTATATACACTCAACGGCCAGCTACCATTTTTTTCTTCAAGCAGCCTCCCTTTTTTGGTCCAAAACAAATCCTCCAATTCCGATTCCATTGCTACTGGTCTAGGCCTAATTAAGTTTTCAAAGTGAAAATTACATAGTACTTAAATTTTCAAATTCAAAATTTAGAATGAAATTTATTTATGCAAAAATCAAGTATTATATATAGTTAATCCACCCAACTTAAAGCCCTAATCATTTCCTCAATGCAATCCTGTCTCCTCATTCTCACTCTACAGACTTTCCCTTCTCTCTATAACAATTCTGAAATTGCCATAGGAGATTCATCATCAATGACGTTCACGACGTCGCACTATGGCAGCGACGCTCTGAAGACTGGCACCAATTCTAGTGTGAGATCGGCATTGCTGCAAGGGTCGCAATGCCTCCTTTTCTTGGACTCACGAATGTGAGCGTCGTTTCGATTTTTAGCAGCGACGGCCTCGTCCATTGCCGCCGGTGATGGTGGCGCTGTGAACTCCGCTACCTTGTGTTTTTTTTTCTTTTTTTTCTTTTTTTCTTTTTTTTTGAGTTTTGGACCTTGTGTTTGTGGTGGTTTTTGTTGGTAGTTGGTGGTGTTTTCCAAAGTGGTGATGTTGGTGGTGTTCTTCAGTTGTTGGAGCAGTGGTGGTGGTCGTGTTTTAGTTGTGTTAGGGAAATTTGGTGGTTATTGTTGGTAGTGGAACTGGCAATGGTGGTAGTGTTGACAACAAGATGGTGGTCGACGACGATGACGAGTTGGGGATGGTGGAAAGTGGCGATGGTGGCAGTGGAGGTAATGGTGGAAATTGATAACAATTATGGATTACATAAAATATGTGTTTAAAATCAATTGTGGAGTCGCTAACTTCAATTTAAATTGTTGTTTTTATTTAATTTGACTATATAATTTATGTCTATGCTTTACTAATAAAATTTTAATATGATAATTACACTAATACATTCTCATCATTAAGGGTAAAAATGACATTTTAAATACCGTAATAGCTTTTGGCATGATCATGCCAAACACAAGTAAAAGCTCTTCCGGAAGAAAAAACTCTTTTAAAATTAGTTACCAAACGCTAACTCAAAAGCTCGGACTTCTGCTTCTCTTCTTCTACTTGTCAAAAGCATCAGCAGAAGCTATCCCAAACGGGCCCGTAATGTGACCAACTATTTCCCCTATTACTAATTATTTGATTACTTGTGACCTTAAAATTTAATAATTGTGACCAACAAATCCTAAAATATATGATCGATAAATAAACTGTTACATAATTTTTTCATCTTTGACTAATTAAATAAAATGTAACCTATAAATTTTTTAATTTGTGATCTCCAAATAATCTGTGATCAATTAATTTGATAATACGTAACAAGTAAATAAATTTGTGACTTATAATTATAAATTTGTGACCATTAATGATATAAATGTTGCCTTATTATTTTCAATTAATAAAATATATTCAATTAAAAAATGAAAACGGATTTTTGCATTTTCAAAACTGTAGACATAAAAATTGAATTGTCAATACTTGATACCTTAATTGTGAATTTTTCACTATCATTAATCTGAGACCCAATTAGTTGCAATTTAACTTCCAAGCCCTCAATTCTTCCATGTAATTCAAGTCAATCATTTTTTTTTTTTTCAGTTTCTCCTCGATTTTGATCCTCCAACTTTTATTCAAGTGAAATTTAGTCCACGAACTTCTACTTAACGGCCAATTAATCCTTCTTTTCTTTTCAATTGCTTCAAAACGGGTCAAATACTAAAACAAACAAAAATTAACCCAAGTTAAGCAAAATTCAATAATTTGATGATATAAAAATTTAATAATACGGCACAAATTGCAGTTATCATTTATAAAGGACACAGAACCAACTCTAACACAACAAAAGGCAGAGCATCTGATTAGAAGCCTTCATTGTCCCCATTAAGCTAGGTTCATAAGCAAGATCATCTACATCAATAAACGTAAATATGACCACCGTAGACCTGTAAATACCGAGAAATCAATCCCTCCATTAGAATCAAACTACTTAATTTTCTAATATATACACCAACTTTTGACTTTTATTACATGCATTATGAAAAGCATCCGGCGGACAAAATAAAGCACTGATGTCAAAAGAGAGACTCAATCTTAACCAAATCTCACGCATTGATTTTTTAATCTTAAAAGGAGAATCTCACACAATAAT